CAAGAAAGTGATTTTTAAAAATTCAAAGTAAGAAATCTGGTGTAAGCAAAGATGACATTTTAAAGTATCATCAGTGAATTTTCACACAGACTTTCCATCACCATAATATTCACTTATATCTTCAATCTTACACAGCAACAAAGTCACAGTAAGGAAGCCAGCAACGGCTTCTGAAGGGAAATCAAAGAAGCCTAGAGCGATTATGTTTTCAAAAGGACCTTGGGGAGTTGAAATAAGGCCTGCTTCTCCACGGGCTGACAACGTTTAACTGGGATGGGAACAGCAGCATCCTTTTCTCTGATTTTACCTTTGAACAGAATAAAAGGAACCCAGTGTAACATTCTCCCTCACAAAGAGATGCAGAACCCAAGCCTGACCCCCAAGAAATCCTATAATCAAAGTAAACATGAATCCCGCTCCTACAAATGCTGGTAATAGCATGTTACAGCGTTCAATAAAATGTCTTCCTCTTGCTAACCTTCCTCTGGATTTTTAACACAACCTTCCTGGATTGAAAAAATAGTTCCAATAGTCAGGAAATGACAACAAAGCTGCAACTGCTGGCTGTACGGCATTACTAAAAACTTAACAGCATTCACTAATGAAAGAGAACACGGCTGGGAGTACACAGGGCCCCATTACACAAGGCTCAGGGTTTATGTAAGGAAGCATAGGTTATCATAATGTAAAAGCCTGCAATGCCTAACTGGGTTTGTATAAAACGAGTCCTTTGACAGACAGTGTCCCTAATTAACACAAACATCTCTCCCTGTCCATCTTGTCAACCTCCTCTGTAATCTTTTGCTGATTGCTACCTGCTGAAACATCTGAAAATGTATCACACATTAAAAGAAAAAACAAAGCCATAGAGGCTAGTGAAATTGTAAAACTGACAAAACATGTAGATTTCATGGAGTCAGTGGAAACGATGTTAGAGAAATGTTTAAATCACAGGAAAGCCATGGTGAAATAGGTACCTGGCAGAGCAGGACCAGAAAACAACTCGGAAAAAAAAAAAAACCCAGAAAAAGAAAATTGACAAGGATGATGATAATACGTGCTTCAAAAAGAAAGACTTGAATGTCAAAAGACTAAGAGAAAACAGATGAAGCACTCAAATGTTTTTTTTTAAATGACCACACCTATATTATTCTAAAACTGTGTGAAATAAGCTATCAAATCATTTTCGTGAAAAATTATACCCAAAGCAACATGATTCATTTTTCATTCCATTCTAAGTTCTAGAATATGGTTGCCTTTACAATACATAGATGCATTTCTTCCAGATAAAGTCCTAATCGGACTATAAATTTTGACTATAAACTTGCACTCTCAGTTTTAAGTAGTGCCAACCTTCCTCAATAACAGCCTCCCTCTGTGTTACCAGCCTCTCGCTCAAATTTGATCCTCTAGGCCTCTGTGCAATGTTTCCTAACGACTCAGAGAATAAACCTCCAGCTAGCCCAAGGCCTTCTTCAACCTGGAGGCCTCATCCTGCGTCAAGAGGTCTTTTATCAGCCTGCCCTTTGGCTGAACTGTCCTTGAGTCTTAGGTCACTTTGAAGTCTTTGACCTTGACCTTGGACTCTTTAAAGACTAAGGAAGAAAGAGATAATGCTAATTTCATATGCTGTCAGGGAGGAAAGCTTTCTCTGCCCACTATCCCTTACTGACAGCACCTGGTTCAGGAGTGGGCCTGTTTCCTGGTCCCATGTGTGGCGTCTTCTTTTGTCCCTCTGGATTTCAGTGTGATGACTTCTCCCTTATAGGGTTCACGCTCCACGGGGGTAGGCGTGCAAGTCTGAAACAGAACATTTCATTTTTCTCTTGTGGCTTACTGACTTCTTGAATTCAAAGCTAAGTTCTGCTCCCTAAGTGAATTGTGAGACCAAAAATGAGCCTTGTGAATTTATCATGTGCCTCCCATGCCCTGCCCTTTCACAGAAATTCCCGGCGACCTTGAGTACCGGCATTGCCCCACTCTTTCACTGGGGTTGATCTGCATCAGACAAAGGCCGAGGGAACACTTCCTAACAATCATTCCTTCCACCGCAACTTTCACTGGGGCCTCTGCCATATCCTCACACATTCTGTTCTATAACCACCTTACAGGCTTTTCCAACATTCTACCTTTTCTTGTAGTTTCAATTCTAGGTGTCTATATTCCCAGTGTTTTGTTGTACGTCTCCTAAGACTTTCAGCTTTTTGTTTCAGATTCTAGCAGTCTGTGTGTGTGTTTCCTCATTTTCCTGATAGTCCCCGCTTGTAACAAGCCTTCCACAGAATCTCCCATCTGGGACTATACCCCTTTGGTGGCCAACTGTGTAGCAGAACCCTGGATTCAGCTAGAGTTAATTCAGTGCTTGAGCAGACTTTTGAAATCAGGACTTTCTAAACAAAGGGATTCATAAGAACTAAATCCTACTGTTTGTCAATGTGGACGCAAATTCACTGGCAAGTCCAGTAATTGTAAACCACAGTGATTAAGGGCATGGGCTCTGGAACCAGCTTGCCTGGGCATGTTACTTAAAACTGTGCTTCAGCTGTAAACTGGGGATCGTAATAGATTCTAATTTATAGGAGGGCTGTGAGGATTAAATATATGTAAAGCATTTAGAATAATGCCTAGCATATAAAACCTCTTAAAAAATAAATATGTGTGTGTGTACATTTGTGTACATCTGTCTTATTTATTTATTTATTTTTTTGCGGTACACAGGCCACTGTTGTGGCCTCTCCTATTGTGGAGCACAGGCTCGGGACACACAGGCTCAGCGGCCATGGCTCACGGGCCCAGCCACTGTGCGGCATGTGGGATCCTCCCGGACCGGGGCAAGAACCCGCGTCCCCTGCATCAGCAGGTGGACTCTCAACCACTGCGCCACCAGGGAAGCCCCATCTGTCTTATTTTGACCACCAAAACTAACGTATTGTAGTGATCAACCGTGTGGGCTTTGGAGAAAGGTAGGTCTAAGTTTGAATTCTAGCTTTGCCATTTACTGGCTGTAGGAAACTGGCAAGTTAATAAGCTCCTCTGAGCCTACTCACTCATGTACGAAATGCAAGGAATAAAACCTACCTCACAGGCACATGAGATTTCCCAGATACAAAGCATTTCCCTCATTCACTCAGTAGATATTTACTGAGCACACACAAGCCCCAGATATTCTGCAGAGGATAAAGCAGAGAACAAGACAGAGACCGTGTCCCTACAGTGGAATTTGAAGCACACTGATCACTTAGTGACTAGGAAGACCCCTGACCTCTGTGCACAAGTCCAAGCCTCTGTCCACTTTCTGTGTCTGGTTGGATGCTTTGCTGGACTTGCATCTTGGCTCGCTATCGACTCAGTCCTTTCCTTCACCCTGGATCCTGCCATGACCTTGAACATCGACATGGGCTAATGAAGCACCAACTTCCCGTGGCTGCCACCCAGCCCCTGGACATTGCAGTTACCTGGAGCCAATCCACACCTGAAACTTTACATTAATTTAATACCCCACCCTCTGACCACATCCCCCATTTCAGGTCTTTAGTCTCCATGTTTTTTCTTCCCCTGGTTTATTTTTCAAGCCCAACTATATGTAGGTACGTAAACCTAAGGTGACCATATAATTTATCATCCAAACTAGGACGCTTCTGAGAGTGTAAAGGGAAGGATGTTGGTGGGAAGGAGATCCCTAGTTGAGCTCCTCTCCTCTTTGTGTCAGTTATCCCGGCCAGAGCTCAGTTTCCCTCATCCTCTTTTGTTCTGCTTCACCACTGATCTGCTCCCAAGGTTGCACTTCAGGAAATATTCAGGAATATTATATCCTGAATAAATATTTGCACTTTGCACTTTGTCTAAGAATCCCTTTCCGGCTGCTCAGTCACTGTACTAGCAATGCCACGAGGCCCCTCTTAGCCTGGCTGGTCACTCTGGTCACACTGACCGTCAAATGTCTCTGACCTGACTGGCCAGGTCTCACGTGCACACAGCCTTCCTCTTCATCTGCTGCTGAGGCTCGGGACGGGCAGGGACCAATTTCCCGCCAGGATGGCTGTGGGCTGTCAACCACTCCTGCCCACACCGCAACCTCAGACACAGACTGGCCCTCTCTGGGGAGGCTTCTGCTGCCCCACACTTCACAGTCTTCCCCTTTATAGACAAGTTGACAGGAATCAAAGACAATTTAAGTTCTGGTCTCAAGCCTTGCAGTACTTTCAACCTTTTAATCTTTTCTTATCCTTAGATGTGGTTACGTAAGTTCTTTAACGCTAGACCCAGGCCTTGTCCATCTTTGTACTGTCTATTGCCCCTGGCATTGTACTCTATATACGTTTTAGAACCTCAATAGATGTTCACTGTGACGAAATGGAAAGGTGATGGCACTCGTTCTGCAGAATGTTAAGCCTTCCCTGCATTATTCCAGAGTTCGGCTGCACACGTTTTCTAAGCAGACTTACGCTGCAGCTCTCAGGAAAAGTAGTCACGTGGCTTCTCTCTAGTGGCAAATGGAAAATCTCCATCTCAAGTGTGACGTGCCCAGCCCTGACATGGGCATCAGCATCTGGTACAACCAGTGCATAATGCTCAGAGGTTATCCTAGTGGTTGGGTCCAAAGCGGGCTTCTTTTCCAGGTATCCAGGATGAGCACAGTGATGACAGGGACACCATCCTGAGTCTCCCAACTAAATACATACCTATTTCTTTTTTTTTTTTTTTTTACTTATTTATTTATTTTTGGCTACGTTGGGTCTTCGTTGCTGCGTGCGGGCTTCTCTAGCTGCGGCGAGCGGGGGCTGCTCTTCGTTTTGGTGCGCTGGCTTCTCATTGCGGTGGCTTCTCTTGTTGAGGAGCACAGGCTCTAGGTGCGCAGGCTTCAGTAGTTGTGGCACGTGGGCTTCAGCAGTTGTGGCTCGTGGGCTCTAGAGTGCAGGCTCAGCAGTTGTGGCGCACGGGCTTAGTTGCTCCGCAGCATGTGGGATCTTCCCGGACCAGGGCTCGAAGCCGTGTCCCCTGCATTGGCAGGTGGATTCCTAACCACTGCGCCACCAGGGAAGTCCCTGCATACCTACTTCTTAGAGGACATTAATGCAGCATAAAGCTCACAGAAAGACCAGGATGAAGTATCAGAGGGTTCTGGGTTGAACAAAGTAAGCAGGTCTCTTCTCTTCTTCGTGTTCTCTTAGTTTTCGTCTGATCTCACTGGTCAGCTTTCTCAGGCTCCTCTGCTGGCTCCTCCCCTGGCTCCTCCCCTCAGCCTCGGAAGGTTGGCAGCCCCGGAGCTCTTTCTCAAGTCCCCTTTCTTCTCTGTCTACAGTCTCTCTGGTGGCCTCAGACCTGTGTTTTTAAATAAATGTAGATGCCAGGATTCCTAAATTTTATGTCCAGCCCCAATGCCTCCCAATTTCCGGACTCCTTTATCCAAATGGCTAACTGACCTCTTCACAGGGAGGTGTAATTAGCATCTCAAACAGAACTAGAACTTAAGCACCACAAACTATAGTTGAAAGAGAAGTAGGATTAAAACTCTTTGAGCCCAGGGACTGCTGTCTTAGTTACACCTGTACCCCCGGCACCTGGAATATGGAATTGTATCTGGTGCTTAACAAACATTTGTTAAATAAAAGATTTCTTGACTGTAGAACTTTTTAGAACTTTTTAGATGATACTGGGCAACAGAATCACCTGAGGGTAGCATTATCTAAAATCATTTGAAAGCTTTTTTAAGGAGCACCTAAAAGAGACTAGGATCCTGAGCGCACACCTTCGGAAGACTGATCTGGGTGGTGACATTTTTTTCCCCCAGTACAGGCTGGCCAAAATTAGATGATCACACCCCACCAGCAGTTCTTCCCATCTTGATGGGTTTGCAATCAGACAGAAAGGTTTGAGGGTAAAACACTGTGAGAGGCTATCCTAAGTAATACGGGAAACATGGATGGCACCTCACCCAGCAGGGTGCTGGTGGTTTACTTAGGTAGATGGGAGTTCAATTTGAGTTCATAGTATTTAATGATGATTGTCATTGTGATGAGTTCATAGACAAAAATGGGAATTATGTCGCAATATGAAGTGCTATGAATAAATATTAATTGCAATCACTATACCCGCATGATTGCAGAAATGTTTTTGGTTAGCTGATCAGGGAAAAGAGGAAGCTTAAAATTGATAGAAAATTTACCTGTATTGTCTGCAGAGAGTAAAATGCTAGGATGCTAGATTTTTCTGAGATTTTTAAGACCAGAGACAAGAATCCTGAACCCCAAGAAGTTACTAATACAATGTTGATCATGGAGGCTAAGATACTAAAATAGCGATAAAGACAACAGAACTTCCAAATACCAAACAGCAGACACTGACGTAACACCAAACGGTCCAAATGAGCAGCGACTCCCTGAGAATGAAATCCATGCCTGGCTGGTGAATTTACAGGTAGGTATTCAGTGCCTGGTGAACTTCAAGGTTCTTAGAGGTCCTCACAGGACTGAGCTCTCCAGGGGACTACGAATCACTAGATTCAACAGAGGTGATCTATAACAATGAAAATTTGCATTTTGATGTTTTACAATCCACCAAATGTTTCCATTTAATCCCCGCGAGCTATTTCTCAAGAACAATGTGAGCACATAATTTGGTCAACAATAAGTATATACTGGATGAACACTGAATGGTTAGATAAAACATGGAAAGACAGTACTTACAAAGTCCCTGTATACAGTGATGTACTGGTAAATGTTGACAACCCACCTTCCCCTTTTCTCACCACTCTAAAGCCCTGATTCATAGCACTTGCCTATTTCTGTAGTGTAAATGCTCTCACCATGGCTGATTTCAAGCTACTGACATCACTGAATGAGGAGTCGGGAAGGGATACATACAAGTGTCTCTCGTAAGCCAAAATGAGCTGGCTCCAACATATGTACCGCCTTTTGCAGTTCCTAGCAATCAATCCGAGGAAATCAGAATTACACGACAGCTGATCATATGGCAGTATTTCCTCCGGGCCACCACACTGAGAAAGACACCGATAAACTGTTATTTCGGAAATGGAGAACACCCATTTCAAGGACTAGATCAGCCACCCATTTAAGTTTATCTTACCTAAAAGGCAAATTATGCTTATGGTTGCAAAGGCACAAGCCAGTTTAAAAGCTTTGGCGCAGTATTCTGAAACCATGCATTACTCCATGAAGCTATCCCTGCTTCTCCAGAAGATGCAATGTGACCCTAATTTTCCAAAATAGATTGGGCTGCTTATTACTGAAAACAGAGAAAAAGGGATGACTTGAAGAATGTCTGTGCTTCCAAATTTTGGTAAAAATTATTATACTCTAAACACACAGAAATTCTAGGAATAATCAACCATTTGAGTTTAAAAAGGTTTTGTTTTTGTTGTTTTTGGTAAAGAAGGAACAGCATGTAAGTTGATTTTCTTCTTTCAAAATGTACTTGAACACCCAAGCTGCTGTCACAGTGGCCCTCCATGTGCACAGCTGGGTGAATACACGGATAGAGAGGGCCAACAGTATAAGGGACTTGAGCAGCCGTGGATTTTGGTATCTGCAGATACTGAGCACCTAACCCTATGGATACCGAGGGACCATGTACTGTTTTTCCTTCCTCTTATATTTTTCTTTCCTAAATCCCCCAACACTCTTCCTTAAGTGACTTTTTATATTGAATTGAAATATGTATTTTATTATGTAACATATATCAAATAAATTTTGATGTTTCATCTTCTGATTTAAATTTTTCCCCTTAAGGATCCCCTGTTTAAATATTAAAATAAAGTAACAATTCCCTGAAGCTGTCAAATTGCATTAAAATGTCATTTCTCTCCTTTGAAGTTCCTCACACTATCCGTTAACAGTGATAGCTGCACAGCACGATGCCAAGTTTCACTAAGTAATAAAATCGTGGATAAGGATCAAGTTCACAGACAACCCCACTGGGAGGAGGCAAGAGGCAATCTTCTGTGTAAATTTATTTCAAGTCCTTTCTATGACCTCTGAAACTATAGTCTTTGCTCCTTCCATTTGCAATTTGTTTATTTATCAAACGCCTACTACATAGGAAGTCCTGGGAATAAAAAATAAGTTCCTCGAAGAACTAACGTTCTAGCCAGGAGGCCAGCTGAGTTCTGGGACTGACAAACACTGGCGTGTCTCTACAATCTGTGCTTTGGAGTCCACAGTGGTAAGTGATTAATTTTCTTGGGAAGGATAACAGGATAGCAGGAGAAATGGTATGGGCCTTTCCTGCTTGCCTTCAAACTCTTATCCTCACTTACAAAGAAATTGAATGTTTCAAATGAAAACCAGAGTAAGAGCTCTAATTACCTCATGTGAATTTAAAATCTAGGATTCCTAACAACTCTTTTTCTTAACTTTAGCATAATATTTTTCTTCTATAAAATTATCTTTGCCTAATGGAGAGAAAAAAGGTCTGAAACATCTCCACACAGTCCCCAAACCTCATTTTATTCATTTTATTTGATACTTTTTCCACATCAACACTTTTTAAAATAATGCATTCCCCATGATTTGAGTTTCACAATCATTTTCTTCTCTTTTCTTGCTCTACAGGTCTCATGTACAGCGGGAATCAGAAAGGCCTTATCACACACCCTGGCTCTTACGTTTACTTACCGCTCAGCCCAGGGAAAGTTACTTAATCTTGCTGACAGTCAGTTTTCTATTCTGTAAAATGGGGATAATATCTCCCACATGGCTTGTTGTGCGGGTTAGGTAAAATAATAAATATAAATTACACCAAATACACTGCCTGGCAGATAGTATGTGCTCAGAACAACATATTATAATACAACCATTACTTACTGCTATTGTAAAAACAATAATGCACTAGAATACCTAAAAAGTTGGTATCAGAAGAAAATATTGAGAAACTAAAATAACTCACAAAATTGAGAGTGAACTCCTAAAAAATGACGTTGGCATTAATTTTGCCAGTAAAATACCCAACAACGATTTGAAAAGGAGGACTGATGAAGCCAGTCGTTCAGTGATCTCGGCATATTTTCCCTACAAGAGGAAGACTTAGGCAAAGTCAGTCCTTTAAATACAGTCTGTCAGGGGTTCCCAGTTAGTCTAGCGTCCCTGCTGGTGGGCAACTGGTACTGACAGCCAGGAGCAGGCTCGTCCTGGATCCACTTCAAGCGTCACATGATCCATCACCCCGTTCTGTCAGTACTATCTCTTCTAAGTCAACGCTTATCTGTTTATCCCTTGGATTACTACTACAAGTGTCATGAATGAACTAGCCGTCATCAAGGCCTCTCATTTAGATTTTTTCCCCAAACCTAGAATAATTTATCTCCCATTAACTCATTTAACTCAATCTTTATGGTTTACATTATATGGTTTATTGCTTAAGTATATATATAGCTTTTGTAGTCAGATAACCGGAGTTTATGTTTTGGTCCTGCCATATACTAGCTGTGTGACATGACCAAGTTTCTTAATTTCCTGAAGCTTCAGTTTCCTAATATTTAAAGTGGCGGGGGGGGGGGGGCTTCCCTGGTGGCGCAGTGGTTAAGAATCCGCCTGCCAATGTAGGGAACACGGGTTCGAGCCCTGGTCTGGGAAGATCCCACACGTGCAGCAACGAAGACCCAATGCAGCCAAAAATAAATAAATCAATAAATAAAGTGGGGAAAATAATACTCCCTCGCTCACAGGGTTGTTACAGTGACAGAGCCCCAGCATTGTGCCTTGCCTTCAGTAAAAGCTCAGTAAATGTTAGTATTGCTGTTATTTACCATGGGATGTTTAGAAATACATGGAAACCTTACAGTCTCTACCTACCTGTCACCCGTCAGTGTCAATATTTACAAATTAACTCCCAGCAAAATAAATTGCAACCTTAAATACTTTGACTGAAATACAGTATATAAAGAAATGTCATGAAGAACCTAGGGGTAAGACAGGAATAAAGACACAGACCTACTGGAGAACGGACCTGAGGATATGGGGAGGGGGAAGGGTGAGCTGTGACAAAGCAAGAGAGAGGCATACGTTACTAACAAACGTAAGGTAGATAGCTAGTGGGAAGCAGCCGCATAGCACAGGGATATCAGCTTTGTGACCGCCTGGAGGGGTGGGATAGGGAGGGTGGGAGGGAGGGAGACGCTAGAGGGAAGAGATATGGGAACATATGTATATGTATAACTGATTCACTTTGTTATAAAGCAGAAACTAACACACCACTGTAAAGCAATTAAACCCCAATAAAGAACTTAAAAATAAAAAAATAATTAAAAAAAGAATTGTAGCATCCTGAGAATTTAAAGCATTCTAGAGCACTTGTTTACTTAATCAAAGCTTTAGGAAGTGGTTAAAAAAAAAAAAGGATGAATCTTATCTAACAAACTCTGAGAATCCACAAGCAAAAAATTTTCACAAGACTTTAGAGGAGAAATCAAAGAGACTACAAGACGCAAACGAAATGAATCGGAAAACAGCCAGAGAACTCTGGAAAAAGAGAAGTATATTTTAAAATGGAAAGAAGACACAGAAGCCTTAGAACTAACCCAAGGGTTACAAATTCTAAGTGCTACACGGCCAAGTTGGGAACATTAATGAGTGAAGCCTGTAGGTGAAAATCAGAAAGGCTGCCTCTGTGGGGCTTGGCCATCCAGCTCCGGCCTGCTCTTACCATGCGGGATTGAGGGCACATGGTGCCCCGCCTCACTCCAAACCCAGCAATTTAGATGGTTTTAGTCTGAAAATTCTGATATATTACTGTATGTAGTGAAGTGAATTTTTAAAACTGTTTAAAACACTGCATGAGCTAAACAAACACTGGAAAAGCCAAGACATATTAAAAGAACAAACACCTCTTTTTTAACAACTGGATTACAACAAAGACTTGGAGGCCTTTATTATAAATTCGGTCATCAAAGGGGGAAAGCAAAGAGACTGAACCGATGTTTATTAACCTCCTACGAGTGCCTTACGTTTTAAAATCTCATTTGACTCTTGCAATCTGTTGGGGAGAAAACACTGTTGTCATTTTCCAGATGAGGAAACAGACCAAGGATGATAGAGAAACTTGCTCTTGGCCACACAGCTAGGAAAAGGGAAGCCAAGGTAGAATTCATATTTACCTTGACCTCAAATTCCGCCATTGCTCTGGTGGTCATTAGAATACACCTTGCAGACCTTCAACTACAGGGAGCTTGATGTTTCAAGGGACAGCAGTCGAGTTTGAACTCCATCCTTTTGTTCGTCGGAGGACATGCCTCCCACTGCTGCTCTCAGCCAATGACAGCACGCCACGTGGCTAGATGCAGGCGATGGCTCAAGGGCTGCTTGTAGGCCTTGCTCAACCTTTCTTGGTCTGTATAGTAGTCTAGGATGTTTCCACCACTTGTTTTTCTCCCTCTCTCCTTCACTGGGGCCAGGCTTGAATTGCAGGCTGAGGGCTCTCCCAGCCCTTCCCGGGCTCCCACCCATTTTCTCTCCCAGGTGTTTAAAAAACTCACACCTTTATCCATCTGGGTGGCTGCTTCTCAGAGGACCCTGACTAACAGCAATTGTCAAAAGGCCCACAGGGGCCCTACACTTGCCTGGGAAAACCTGACTTGGTCCATTAGGAAACCCGATAGACGCCAATCTTCAAAAGAAACTGCATCCACCCAATAATGACTTTTTTCTTTGAAAGCTGTATTTGTTCCTAACCTCTTCTAACGCCCCGTGAATATGTTAACCAACTGTATGTGACAACATCCAGGAGCAAGTGACAATCCAGCCCGTGTTAACAGCCCACTTAGCCCCAGCTCACCTGGTCCTGCTGCTTGATCCGTTTGTAAATATATTCAGCAAATGGTTTACGAGGAACAAACTTCCCGTCTCCTGCCGTGACGCTGAAGACTCCAGCTTCATACGCCACTTTGCCTCTTGAAATAGTCACAAGGGGCACCCCATGGCACACCACGCCCTCGAAGATGTTGAAGTTAACAGCCTGATGATGAGTTTTTGCCGAAATGGTCCTAATGTAAAAACAGAGATGTTCCCGATCATCACCAGCTCATCTGACAAATATGAAATATCGAAAGAATGACTTAGAAGAAAATTTAGCAACTCTATTAAGCCATAGCTTTATCACTGGAACAAGTGACTTTAAGAATAGAACACAGCATTAACATTTTATTGCAAAGTAATTACATTTTCTGAGAGAAAAACCCAGTAGGTCACTCTTTACGGTGATTAATGAGGACGGAGTGAGTGGAAGAAGGGCATTGTCTCTCGTGTTTATAATTTTAAGTTATTTTTATGTATATGTTTAAAGAACAAAATATTAATTGTAAAATATTTCAAATATAGATGAGTATGATGAACACACTGACTCAATACCACACTCTACAGAATTTTAACATTTTGCAGACACAGTCGAGGTTTCCTCAATACCTCCCTGTCCCTCAAATTCCATCCCTGTCCCTCCCTTCCCAGAGGCAATCGTTAATTGGTATTTATCGTATATGGCCTTTATTATGTTGAGGTAGGTTCCCTCTATGCCCACTTTCTGGAGAGTTTTTTTTTATCATAAATAGGTATTGAATTTTGTCGAAAGCTTTTTCTGCATCTATTGAGATGATCATATGGTATTTATTCTTCAATTTGTTAATGTGGTGTATTACATTGACTGATTTGCATATATTGAAGAATCCTTGCATCCCTGGGATAAATCCCACTTGATCATGGTGCATGATCCTTTTAACGTGTTGTTGGATTCTGTTTGCTAGTTATTTTGTTGAGGATTTTTGCATGTATATTCATCAGTGATATTGGTCTGTAATTTTCTTTTTTTGTAGTATCTTTGTCTGGTTTTGGTATCAGGGTGATGGTGGTCTTGTAGAATGAGTTTGGGAGTGTTCTTTCCTCTGCAGTTTTTTGGAAGAGTTTGAGAAGGATGGGTGTTAGCTCTTCTCTAAATGTTTGATAGAATTCACCTGTGAACTCATCTGGTCCTGGACTTTTGTTTGTTGGAAGATTTTTAATCAGTTTCAATTTCGTTACTTGTGATTGGTCTGTTCATATTTTCTATTTCTTCCTGGTTCAGTCTTGGAAGGTTATACCTTTCTAAGAATTTGTCCATTTCTTCCAGGTTGTCCATTCTATTGGCATAGAGTTGCTTGTAGTAGTCTCTTATGACGCTTATCCCACTACTGGGCATATACCCAGAGAAAACCATAATTCAAAAAGACACATGCACCCCAATGTTCATTGCAGCACTATTTACAATAGCCAGGTCATGGAAGCAACCTAAATGCCCACTGACAGACGATAAAGAAGATGTGTTTCATATATACAGTGGAATATTACTCAGCCATAAAAAGGAATGAAATTGGGTCATTTGTAGAGACCCTAGAGACTGTTATACAGAGTGAAGTAAGTCAGAAAGAGAAAAACAAATATATACTAACGCATATATGTGGAATCTAGAAAAATGGTACAGATGAACCGGTTTGCAAGGCAGAAATAGAGACACAGATGCAGAGAACAAACGTATGGACACCAAGGGGAGAAAGTGGGGGTGGGAGGGGTGGTGGTGGTGGGATGAATTGGGAGATTGGGATTGACATATATACACTAATATGTATAATAACTAATAAGAACCTGCTGTATAAAAAAATAAATAAAACTTTAAAAAATTCAACATAGAAAAAACTATACCTTGAAAAGGAAAATTATATCTTGAATTTCTTTCCCTTGTCTGTGGCAAAACTGGAAATTTGAGGACATTAAAAATAACAAAATATGTTGAATATAATCTCAGCACATTCTGTCACGCATCTGCGTATTCCTCAGCATTCTCAGCATTTTATTAATACTTTTCAATCTCACACAATACGACTAATGACTTCTAAGCTGGATATCTGGAAATACTGGGTGTCCGCCTTTCCCTAAATCACATTAAATGGAAAAGGAAAAAGAAAATCTGGCAGCAGTGGATCATACAAGCATAATCTGAAGTTTCTACAAGTGCTTGCTCTCAGGAATGGATTAAAGAAAAGTGCTTTGCTAAAAATCCCAAGGCTAGGTCAAAGGAATAGCAGCTAAAAGCTCCCCTGCAACCCTAATCTGGAGGGGCGGAGCTGGGAGACTCACAGTGCCACCTCCAGTGGAAATGAACGACACGACGCTGACCTGGTCCTGGGTTCCAGAATCCTGTACCCAATTACCTGTTTGGTTTCCACTCCTTAACACATCCAAACAGAATTCTTGATTTTCCATGATGACTCCAGCCCACACACTCAAGTTTGCTCCTCCCTTGAGTTTCTCATCTCAGTAAATGACACCCCCAGCCACCTTTCCTCACTCCTCAAACCATCATCAAGCCTGTTGGTTCTACCTCCAAAAAAAAAATAAATCCCAAACCTGCCCATTTCTCTCCCCCTCCAACGCTCCCACTGAGTCCACGCCACCGTCATCTCTCATCTGGACAACCCCCAACACCTCTTACTGGCCTCCATGTTTCCATTCTTACCCCCCTACACTACTTACCACCCCCGCACAAAGATGCTCAAATCATATTTTAAAAATGAACATCAGATCAGGTCACTTTTCTGCTTGAAACCCTCCAGTCTGTTCCCCAAGACACAAATAACCGTAGAAAAGCCCAGATAATAATAATCATGAAAAAGAATCTGCTCCCAATGAGAAATATCAGCATGGAAAAGAAAAAGAAGATGTTCCTGTATGTCAGGTGGATACTTTATGACATTCTATTTCATCTTTATAACACCTCTTCAAGGTAGAGAGTATTGTCTACACTTGACAAGTAAATAAATTGAGATTTAGAGAGGTTACATAACTTGTCAAAGGACCTATGACTACTTTGATGAAACGGGAATCTTTTCATATTTTTTAAGTTAACATACAATAAAATTTACATTTTTAGTGTTAGTTCTATGAATGCTGACACCTGGATAGATTTGTTATCCTCACAACATTCAGGACACAAACAGTTCCATCGCCCCCCAAAACTCCTACCATCCCTGTGTAGTCGCAACCTCCCCCCACGCGTAACTCCTGGAGATCCTTGATCTGTCCTCTATCTCTTGAGCTGTCTCTTTTCAAGAATGTCATGTAAATGGAATCACAGAGTATGTAACCTTTTGAAGCTGACTTCTTTCATTTGGCATAACTATTTTGAGATTTATCCAAGTTGTTGTGTGTATCAATAGTTCATTCCTTTTTAATTGCTGAGTAGTATTCCAACATATGAATACCCCACAGAGTGTTTATCCATTCACCTACTGAAGGACATTTGGGTTGTTTCCAGTTTTTGATGATTATGAATACAGATATTATAAAGATTCGTGTACACGCTAGGTGTGAACGCTTTTCTTAGTGTAAGTTCCCTTGAGTGGCATCACTGGGTCCTATGGCCAATGTATGCTGCACAAAAAGAGCTTCCAGTATCCTTAGGAACCAACTTGCTGGTAGAGAGAAACACTTAAAAGGTTAATGAATAGGAGGTAGGTACAAATACAACAACAATAATTTCAAACACTAAGGAGGAGGGAAAAGTACTGATCACATAGTAAGTCATGTCATTAAAGTAAGAAAATGAAGAAAATGGGGTAAAGGGTTACCAGGTATAGAATGAGTTATGATAAGTTATGAGTTGGTGATGAAAGATACAAACTTAAAGAAAATAAATCTAGGAAACAACATAGAGGAGATTTAGACCTTCAGGCTAGAGTGTCGTTTTATGACCATCACAATCTCTCTGCGATACTTCCATAGTCTGGGCTACTGCTTTCCTGCACATCACAGTTACACTGATGGCAGAAGCTCTTGGGCTTATACTGTACAATGTTATATAAGCATGTCTGGACAGATGTATTAGTAAGGTTGCCATACAGAGAAAAGTAAAATGCATAATAATTCATGATGAAATGGTTATATACAAGAATGGGAGGCAAAAAAGGGAAAACCCTAAGACATAAAACTTTATTTTTCCAAGCAGGAAGTTAAGAGTTACAGGTACTGTTAGGAAAATAATCTAACAGAAGAAGTAAGTTCTATACACAAAAATTGCCATTACGATATCTAAACTATTGAAAAACTGAAGCATAACAATTTTCCAATGATTACTCAATGCAATATTGGGCTTCTGTGAAAGACTAGAAATAAGAATACACTGGGGAAGCAAAGAAAATGATAATTATATAATTTAAATGGAAAAAAAGTTACAGAAAGCATGGGAAAATACATATGCATGTGGACAAATGCAAAAGGAAATATACAAATTAAAGTGCTTGTGTGGCCTAGGAAAAAACAAACAAATATGAAAGCAAAAGATCTGTGACAACAAAATATCAAATCAGATTTCTCTGCCGCAGCCAAAACAAAGGTCATTTTTTTGACTTTCTCAGCATTGGGGTTAGCAAGAGAAAGAAGGCAATTAGGCGACATCTAAGTGATTCTCTATAATAAGGCATTATGTCAATGAGGTCAAATTAACACAAAATGTAAATTCTTGGCATTATCACCAGCAGCAAAAAGAATGTGCTTCCACTTTCACATTGGAAGGTGTCTGACAGGGTGTCATTCCTCACCCAACTTTTTCCTTCCAGCCAGAGCTGCAAGTCTCCAGTTCTTTAGGAACTTCCACACTTCTGAGTCTTCCTTCTCCCTGGGTGCCCTTCTCACTGCTCAGATCTGCCCCCTCCCTGACCCAAGACTCTGCTCAAAAATCCTGGTCCCATGTCAATCATATCTCAATAAAGCTGGAAAAGAAAAGAAGAGAAGAAAATAGAAGAGAAAAGAAAGGAAACAAAACAGGTCACATGACTGGGCCCCAGCTGCAAAGGGGCCTGGGAAGGCATGTTCTGGCAGGAAGGAGGGGGGCAGG